CAAACAGGTCATTGCAACAGACTACACAGTTGCGCAATACCTTTGCAATCGTCTACTCTTCATTTCAATTGCATCATTATAACCAACGCTTTATCAATGTCTGAAACATAATCGCTCTAGGTCATCGAGATTTTCATTCCAATATCTATAATTACATTCTACTTACATTGTACGTACGAAGAACCTGTTATAGCTTGTGCAATTTCAACCAGGCGATGATAACAATCCCATTGAAACAATTAGCCTTGGCCAAATTTCCCAGAAAAACATTCCATGAGGCGACACAAAATCGATTCTGGAAATCACGTGTTACCAGGAGCCACGTCACCGGAAGTCATCAACGGTCTCGATCCACCTTCTTCTCAGAGGTCTGAAAACTAATCAGAAAAATCTCCTCTGCGTCGAGCGCACTGTGAGTGCGCGGAAGCGTTTCACGGTGTATACACGTGGAATGTCTTCGACGGAACGGAAAAGATCGATGACACTCTGGCAACGCACCAGACGGCCGCGCGATCATGCAAGACGATCTCGAGCCATCCAGTCGCGTATCTGTCACGAGCAGATAACAAGAATCCTCGCGAGATCCGACCAGAGGAGGCCATGATTGCATCAGCTCGAGTTCACCGGTAAATGTTTGTCTTCGGAGGATTCGTTCCGTTCGCTTGCCTCAGAATGCGTCTCTATACAATTCCTCTCGATGGATTAAGTTCCATCCGAAGCTGCCGTTGATGTGAAAATTTTAGTACGAATCAGTCGGACCTGGATCGAAAAATCGTGAATGGGGGATAATAAAATCTGGTTGAAGAATGTAATTGAATAATTACACAATAATTACACAGGTGTGTGTTGATAACCAAAAATTAATTAATTTTAATGACGTGTTTATCATATTTGAAACCAGATGGACGCTTTAATAGAGTGGATAAATTTCTCTTTCATTCCTGTATCTGTAAATCACTCTATAACGATCTATATTTCCATAAATGCGTACACGTCTAGTCATAGAATTTCGTAGTGCGATTTTTCATTAGGAAGAACAGTGTAGCTAGCAAGGGAGCTTCGGTACCCTGAAAATTCCAATTTTTGTTAGACTCCGCGGATTTATAGAAGATCTCAATAGAATCAACGTGTAATTTTCCGTTTTTCCTAATATTCGGTTCTTTAGAGCGAAGCCATCCCTAATTTAACACAAGATCAACAGCGTTTATTAACTTAATGCATATATTTTCGACGATGTATGACATAAAAAATGAAATAAATTGTGTCTGGAATCGACGATGACAATCCGCAAACGGGCCGAAGGCCAACGCTTCCCATCGGCTCTCGTTACGCCATTGCTATCTTGCACGCGACAAACCGTGACAATTGGTTTTGATAGAGGCAGGCCCGCAGCTGTAGCGCAGCGCGAACCATAGAACAACGGGTCAATTGGTACGTTGGTTACGAGCAGGCAACGCGACCATAGGAAGTGAAACCTCGGTGAAACAGTGAAATTCCCTCGAAAGTAAGAGCGCTACGTCTATGAGCGCGCAGCGGAGCATGTTCCGCGCGAAAAAAAAACGCTTATCAACGGTTCCTTTTTCTTTACGCGCGTTGTTTTCCCTAACCGCCACTTTTCCGACGGTTCGCTAGGCCACAAACTCACGTGGCTTCCGTGGCCATGGGAAAGTGAAATCCAATGACGAGCTATCGTAACATTCTAAAGCTTTGTCGAGTTTCTTAACCTGGGAAGGGGGAGAGGTGTTGGCGAGGAGATACTGTTCTCTCCTGTTAGATCGCCGATAATTGCCGCGCCACGGTGCCGTCCGACGAAGGAATTCAATTTCATCCGGGAGCTGGTAAAAAGACCCATTCCCGGACAGCTTTTCACGCGAGAACACCAAAATTGGATTCCTACGAACGACCAGCCCAGGCACCCCCTACTCCGTAAGAGTCTCCATCGATTGCTGCGATCTTCCGCCGATATGGACACATGGAGACCCTCTTGACTATGGAGCCTGATCGCGCGAGCATCACCTGTTCACGTGGATCACGGATGAAGAGGATCGATAAGAAGATACACGAGAAATGAATTTCCCGAATACCCCCTCTATCTTCAGATTTCTTTTTCCTTCTGGTACCTATTGCTGTTACGACAAATACGGAGAACTTCACGGACCACCTTGTACCGATCGTCTAAATTGAATATTTTTCAAGACATTTATGTTTGCTGAGTAACTATACAAATTTATTTTTGACAAAACTTTGGGATCGTTAATTAGAACATTCGCTATAAACATGTCCCGTCTGGCAATTGGGAATATTTTATAGATTGAAAATTGATCTGGACAGATGAACGCAATGATTTTCTGGTAGCATAAAATTAAACAGGTGTCTAAGGATCAAGTATTCCCTGTGCATTTGTCTGGGTCGAATCAGCGCGGAGAAAGCAAATACGATGAAAGAAGCCTGCCAATAAAATGTCCATTAACGTCATCAGACTGATCTGTTTTTTTTTAGGGGGGGCGGGGATGTTCTCAGGTTTCAGCTCAGTGGGACTTCACATTATCCATAAACATGCCCTGGGTGGTTTCCTTTTGCCTTCGCACGAGTACACCTGGGAGATGGAGGTGAACGTAGGAACGCAGCAGCCATTTTGGAAGAGACTACGGAATTACGTTTCAGTGTGGTGAAACATATACAAGACCCATCATCAACTGTTTCCACGTCAACAGAAACTAGCCGAGAAGTACTTCGGGATGCGTCTGCCGCCGTTACTCGACATACCGAAGAACGTCAGCGTTATGTTTGTCGAACAAGCCGAAGCTCCAACGCCAGCCAGACCGAAGCTCGCGAATATGATCACGTTCACATCCTTCCACGTCAGGGATAAACTGACACTATTGCCTGAGTTGTGTTCATGAATTATTTGGGACACCATGGAATTTCGTACAACTCAGAAAGGATTGTACAGTAGAGCTGTTATTTTCCAGTTAGTCGAACATCAATCGCCCTGCAATAGTAGCAAATGCCTCTAAAATTCCACTAATTGAAGATAAATGATCGTAAGCCTTTCAAGAAAATGTTGAGTTTTCCTTGTAGAATATTTCAAACGATCTGTATGCCGAATATAGATTATTAATTTCGGAGATTGTCAACACGTCGAGCTCTCGAAGAGCATTAAGCATCTCGAATATTCATTACCTATATATTTAAATATTTTTATTTGACACACAAATCAACAATTTTACAGATCAATGTAGCGAAAAACACGACTAGGTTACTGCAATTGTAAAATCTTAAAATTAAGTTCAAAGTTACGGTAGTCAAATTAAATACCATTAAAAGACATTTATTCACCTCATCGTAAATCGGTAGCCCAGTCATTACCGATAGCAAAGAAACGAAGGACGCCTGTGCAGTTTGCAGCGGTTTATTCGCACATATCGATGTCACTTCCATCTGTATATACTCTAACGATAACCAATACGACTTAAAAAAATTCACTTAATAGCTCACAATCAACTTAAGGTGTTAGTTTGCATTGTTCCGGTCAGTAGCAAATCAGCAGTTCCATGCAATTTAACCGACCAGCATGAAGCCCACAGTGTATCTATTTACAATTGTATGTATGATATGTATCGCTGAGCATTCTGAGTGCGCCAGGATCCTAGCTCTGTTCCCAATGGCGTCCTACAGTCATCAAACCAATCATCCGCTATTATGGCTGGAGCTGGCCAAACGTGGACACGAAATAGTGGTGGTCACAGCGAACCCCGTGTCATATTTGAACATTCCGAATGTCACGCAGATCGACGTTGGTAGGTCTTACAGGTTTTTCGATGGATGGAACATGGTACAGAAAAGATTCGATGGACTCCTTACCTGGATAATGTACGTAGACGCCCAGATATGCAATCTATCGCAGGCTTTCGTCGAGAACGTATTCGAAGATCCGCAAATGAAAGAACTGTATGAGCCAAACAGCAACGAGACTTTCGATGTGGTTGTGATAGAAATGATCTACATGCCATCCATGTTCGCGTTCGCGCACAGATTTCACGCTCCTACCATAGGTACTACTTGATATTCGTTCAGTTTTTGGTGTATAGACCACCTAAATGTAGCCACCTAAATATCTCACAGTGAGCTCAGGACATGACTGTAAACTGACCATTAACTCTCAAAATTGAAATAACATATAAAATTCATTTGAATCGATATTACAAACCTCGACTGCGACGGGTAGAATCTACGGATATGTAAGTAGACATAAATTTATAACACTTATCACCTACTTTTTGAGTTATCACGTTATGTTAAGTGTTTAAAATGATTTTGCTCCATAGATAGGCATTATTGAAACCGTGCATTAATAGATAAACTCACAGTCAAAGGTCACTTCAACTAGAGTATGTAAAGGAAGAAAATATACACGTGCATGCAAACACACATTGATGACCTTGAGAACTTTGAAAAAAATGACTTTGACACAAAAATATTCTTTGCAATTCAATCGTTCTTCCACACTATTCAAATTGCATACAATATACTTTTATATAATCACAACTGAAGGATATATTTAGGTGGCCACCTTTATGTGGACCACCCTGTATACATTATTTGTTCATATGTTTTTATTCGACACGCAAATTGAAGAATTTTATAATTCAACTGGTAGCGAACAATCAACTAAGTCCACTGCAATTATAAAATCTTAAAGTTCAGTTTAGAATTAGGTGATCTAATTGAATAACATTAAGGGACATTATTCATTCACCTCGCCGTAATATGATATCCCAGTTGTCAACAGAAATTAAACGAAGGACGCGTGTCCAACTTGACACAACATTGTACTTAAATTGGTGTCATTCCTGCCCAGCATGCACCAACGGTCAACCAATGTAATTTAAATAATGCGCCAGATAACCCATTATCGACGTAAGGTCCCATTAGTTTACATCTCTCAGTTCAGTAGCAAATCAGTTTTAATGAAAATTGGTCGCATTTAACGGATCGTTATGAAGTCCATAGTGCCCCTATTTATAATTTTATGCGTGATCTGTGTCGTCGTGCCTTCGGAGTGCGCCAGAATCCTAGCTCTGTTCCCAATCCCGTTCTACAGTCATCAAACCAATCATCCGCTATTATGGCTGGAGCTGGCCAAACGTGGACACGAAGTAGTGGTGGTCACACCGAACCCCGCGTCACATTTGAACGTGCCGAATATCACGCAGATCGATGTTAGTAGATCATACGTGTTTGTCAAACCTTTCGATATGACTCGCATAAAATTCAATGGAATCAACTGGCAAACGTACCTACATGAGCACATATACCATGGATCCCAGTTTTTCGTCGAGAACCTATTCCATCATCCGCAAATGAAAGAATTGTACGAGCCCAACAGCAACGCGACTTTCGATGTGCTTGTGATAGAAATGGTGGAAATGCCATCTTTATTCGCGTTCGCGCACAGATTTCACGCACCTGTCATAGGTATTATATACTTTCCATTCGATCAAATGTCGATGCAGAACCTACGACTGTTGTTGTTATTCTAAATATATCAAAATACGATTACTTTAAAAATGAAGAGTCCTATGTGAATGATTTCACGTTTAGATTGTAGATTGTTACAGATAGAACAATTATGGATAATCACATTCAATACTATCTACAAATACTATCCTTTAAAGTGTTATTTTATGATCAATATTCTGATCGCTCGCTAATTGGAGAATTTACGTGATCCGCAGGATTCAGCTCGTTGACGCTATCCACCATAAACGAGCACATCCTAGGTGGACCAGTATTAACGTCCCACGAATCCGTGTGGGAAGTCGGAGCGCACATAGGACCGAACTTGTCGTTCTGGCAAAGATTGAAGAATTTCGTGATAGTCTGGCGCAGTACGTACTTTCTCTATCGCTACCTCTTTCCGCAGCATCAGAGGATCGCGGAGAAGTACTTGGGCCCAGATCTACCGCCTATGCTCGATATAATGAAGAACATCAGCGTGATATTCGTGAATCAAGATGACGTGTTGTCACCTGCTCGGTCGAAAGTGGCGAACCAGATCTCCTTCACCTCCCTTCACATTTCTGACAATCTTAAACCGCTGCCAAAGGTTATTTTCATTCTTCAGGCATCGGGCATCGCACACAAATCGATTATTAAAATTTGTTTCGAATACAGGAATTGCAACGATTTGTCGACGAAGCAGAAAATGGCTTCATATACTTCAGTCTCGGGACCAATGCGTTGACTTCCTGTTTACCGAACGAGACTTTGCAGATTTTCATCGATGTGTTCTCCAAATTACCGTACAGAGTCGTCTGGAAACACGAGGAAGAGTTGCCTCGAAAACCTGATAACGTATTTAGTATGCCATGGTTCCCACAGCAAAGTCTTCTTGGTATTATGGTTGTTACATGTATCTTAACCGTATATACGGAGTGTTATGATCGAGGGGAATGTTCTTCTGTACAGCACACCCGAACATTAAGATGATGATCTACCAAGGGGGCCTGCAAACTAGCCAAGAGGTTGTGTATTTTGCAGTACCAGTTCTAGGGCTTCCCGTGCTAGGCGACCAGGACTATCAGGTTCGAGTGATGGAACAGCTTGGGATTGGGAAGTTCTTGGATCTCCCGACCTTGACCAGGGATCAGCTGGAACGAAACATTCTGGACATCGTGACTGATAAAAATTAAGTATATAGATTAAGATGCAAATGGAAGTTAATACTGTGTATTTCATAGTGTAGGAACATTACTTCAAGAATTAATTTTTGAAAGATTAACCCTGTTTTCATAGTTTGCTGATTTGCAATCGCTAATAATCTTGAAATTTGGACTTCTTTCTAATCGAATACACAAAAAATTAAAGTACTAATTACGTACAGATCGTTCATAGTAAACGACTGGGTGGAAGCAATTACGCTCAGTAGTCAGGCAAGGGTCGTGTTAAATTAAATCGTGTTAGACGCGTGGGCAGCTTTTTTCCATTAGTACTTTTTGCTTAATTTATGTATAATTCTATGTTATAATTCTTGCGCAACATGATATACATATGTATTTGTGTCCATTACAGGGAACCATGAAACTAATCATTTGTATTCAATTCTTTATCACCAGAATCACCATTGCAAATTACTAACGAATTTTAAACAATTTATTCTAACTGAATGCTGACTTTGCGACATTTACAGGTACAAAGAACGGATACTCGAGGTGAGGAGTATTGCGAAGGACAAACCGTACGATTTATTGGAACATCTCGTATGGTGGACAGAATTTGTGATTCGTCGCAAAGGCGCTCCGCATCTTAGGACCAGCCTGGCCAGCCTGCCTTGGTACCAGCGCTACGATACGGACATTATAGTGTTTTTAACTATTGTAGTATGTATAGTAATTTTCATTTCGACCAATGTATTTACAAAACTTTTAGTTTATTTGTACAGACAACGGCAAACTACGCCTGCAAATAAGAAGCAGAAACGAAGTTAGCCATTCAACGTTGATCTAGCAGAGAATTAATTTCTCTTATTAGTCATAATATGGTTTTGTCTAATATATCGTTCAATATGTTGAGATATTTTACTGACAACCATATTTTGTGTACTTCATGTCAAAGGCAAATACATTTTTTATAAATGAGAAAGTATGACATCACGATTATACGTTGGTATAAAGACACAAACTCATCTAACTCACAGTCAATATCAAAAAACTCGAATGGAAGTCGTTGAAATTGTAAGACCAACAAATTCCTGATTCCGAGGTAATACGATTCTACTATGTTAGGCAAATTTTCCAAGTGTTGGCCCTAAGTCGACCCACTTGAAGAACTACGTTGACTTCATAAATTAAAGTCCCTCAATCCTGAAGATACTCGATTCAACCTACCCGATCCTCAATGAGTCCAAATGCAGTCCTTCGATTTTCCATCCACGCCTTTCGAGTCTTCTGTCTCGACGTTGTCCGAATTACAAATAAACCAATCCAACTTGAGTCTATCAGTCCTAGTCTCCGTAACCTCGGCTAAACCTTTATGATAACACACCAGCCAACGTTCCCCGAGATTCACTTATCCAACGTCGCTTAACTTCCATTATCAGCGGCTTGTCGCCATTCATCCAGTCATCCCCCGATCCTCGAACGGGGCCGCAATCGGACAGAATCAAAGCCCCTTTTTCATCGCGAGCGTGCCAAGGGGGGATTATCAGAAAACGATAGAAACGGAGATTTTCTTTTCTCCGAGTGCTTTCTGTTCGCGAAGCTAACGCCCCCACAGGAAGCCCCCTTTGTTTCTCCGGCTGATAACGCGCCGTCCAACTCACCCCCTCGCCACCCAACTCCTATTCCCGACAGTTTTCAGGCTCCTTTCGATCCTCCGAACGCAAACGCCTTTAAGAATCACGATGCTGACGGCGCGATAGCGCCAGCTGTTTGTCAGTGGCGCGTCGAATACCGGCTCGGGTAACTTGGGGGAGGATGCAGGGTGGTACGACAAAAGCAGGGGGAGGAAAAGAAGGAAAAACTACGGAAGGGAAGATACAATCTGGCCCGACCATTGTTTCATATGATTTGCCGGCAGTTATTGTTTCGTGTACGTCGTCGACGCCGCCGCGAACTTTTACAATTACGCTCGCCCGACGTCTCGAGGATTTTCCGCTGTTTCTTTCTTTTCCACCGAGTCCCCTGGCCGATTCTTCCGCGCACTTCACCGAACGCTTTTGTAACGAAACAAGGAACTTCATCTTCCCTGTCGCCTCGCGTTTATCGAATCCTCGATTACTGGTACGGGCTCGCGAGTTGGGGAGGGAGAAGTGAGTCTCGTGTTAATGGCTTCTCGCGAGCACGATGGAAGAGTACAAATTCTGAGGCTGAAAGTTGGTGTCTGTTGCGTGACAGGTATTATCGACGGTCTTGAAAGTTGAGCTGATTGTAAAACACATAAACCGACAGTTTATTGTCGGTACGAATCGGTTACTTTATTAAACCGTTGAGTGGTGTCATTTTTTACTCGTTACGGGTAGTTAGCGTAAGAAATGTAAAGGTATATTAAACGAACTGTACTTTTATCGGCAGATTGTACAATTGCATTTATGAAAATTGTTCCTCTTGGTATACGAGTGATTTATTGGCGATTAATTTTCCCTGTCAGATATCTTTTTGTTGGAAAATGAACGAACATTAACAGGTACACAAGTAACAAAACCGTAATGTTTACCAAGGTATTATAGAGCAGATGAATAATCCAAATTTACGGAAAAGCTTCCGGCATTCTAGTGACATCGAATCTTATCAAGACCACTATTTCCCTTCTCGAGATTACGTTTGCTTCGATAACAAAGAGGCCGCGGGAGAAGACGTACAATATCATTCGTCACGGAAGTTTAGATTAGATTATAATGATCATGAAATCATACGTATCTTCGATAGTTATCATTCGTGCTATCTTGAGATACTAGATGCCACGATTTACATAATTTTGTTATGTAAACGACACATCAAATTAATAGCTCTTTTGCATAACAGCAAGAACATCGTGAATTTTATCTATTTCTATCGGCTACAAACGCGCAGAACACAATATAATAATGAAATCCTAAAAATTGCAATAGTATATTGATAATTGACGAAATTATTAATACCTTACTCGTTAAACATTGTTATTCTAGTAAAATCCGGATCATCCGAAGCAGACATTAATTTATAAACACACACATACGCACACAAATAGTCGCCGAATGGACCGATAACCCCGAGAATACTTCAGTATAAAACACTTAATACAGTTAATGAATTTGTTACTACAGTAATATCTACTCCTTAAGTCGCTATAATTTTGAAATATATACTCCACTGATCTGTATACCTAACTAATTTTTTGTTTCTGTGTACCGGACAACACTTGGTATTGTTTGTAAGACCGAACCACAAGTTTGGCAATGATACCAGTTACGTTTGATATTATTAGAACCGATAAAACCGTTAAGAATACCACGATGTCCATGTCACAACGTTGATACCATGGTTGATCGACCAACGAGCTACGAAGATGAGGAGCGCCTTTATAACGAATCACGTACTCCGTCCACCAAACGAGATGCGACACCATGTCGTAAGGATTGTCATTCACTTTCTTTTTCAGTTCGATCATTCTCTCCTTATATCTGAAAGAATCGAAACAAAGTTGTAGTCACATATATTCGAATATTTTCATTTAATAATACTAAAATCATTCGGTTCCCTCTGTAACAGCATATTACATTGCAAACAGTTCGTAAATCAGCTCATACTCACACTTTGTTGGACAGTAGTTCCCGAATGGCGCTGTTCAATTCATCCCTCGTCACGGTGGTGATTTCCAAACGCTTCGCGACACCAAGAGCCTCCATTCTCAGCACTTGGTAGTCCTGATCCGCCAACACCGGAAATCCTAATAATGGCACCGTGAAATGCACCGCTTCCTCGCTACTTTGCACACCACCTTGGTATATGAACAGCTTGATATTGGGATGCGCTGTATAACAACGAACCACGATTAACAACGGCAAATCAATGCCTATGACGCACAGATTAAATGAAAAATTAAAATTGTACCCAGGATAGTCTGCTGGGGAAGCCATTTCCCGATGAAGACGTTATCCGGCTTGCCAGGCATATCCTTCTCGAACTTCCACACGATTTTGTACGGTAACTTGGAGAATACGTCCTTGAAAACCTGTAGCGTCTCTTTGGGCAGGTCCGAACTCATCGCGTTGCTACCCAGACTGAAGTAAATGAATCCTTCTTTCGCGTTATCCATGAAACGTTTCAAATCCTGTAGAGGTAACGGAATAAAAAGTTGACGGGAAAATACTCGTTACTTGAAGCTATTTCGAAACATGATCTATTACCATTTATAATGACAGAGCACTGAAATGTCTTTCAGTTCCATCGACGGAAAATGTACACTCACTACATTTAATTGAGATTATAAACTACTCATTATCAGTGCAGTAATTATGAAATGGTATTTGCAAATCTGTCCACAATCTGTTTATGTATATCGAAGTTTCGCCAATCTTCTAAATTATTACTCGATCGTTGATATGCAGTTCGTGTAAAATATTCTTAAACGAGGACTCAACAATTTTTTTCAACCATTCACGGTGATTAATCTTCGATTACCGGTAGTTTAGCAGAATTTGGAGTATTTCAGGGCAATCGACGTTCGACTAATTGCCGCCTCGCTAACTCGAAAATCCTCGATAATCGGATAATAGCTGTATTGTACAACCCTTAATGAGTTCGACGGATTGTATAATACCCGGAATAATTTTGCGAGCGTACCTCAGGCAGCGGTGTCAGATTATCCGAGACGTGGAAAGACGTGAACGTGATCATGTTCGCGAGCTTCGGTTTGGCTGGCGTTATAGGATCGGCTTGATTGATGAATATAACGCTGATGTTCTTCAGTATGTCGAGCATCGGCGGCACAGACGGCCCGAAGTACGTTTCGACTATTCTCTGCTGACGGGGTAAAAGGTTGTGATGGACTTTGTATATGCTTCGCCACAGCGAAACGTAGTTCCAAAGTCTTTTCCAAAATGGCTGCTGAAGTCCTACGTTCGCCTCCATCTCCCAGGTGTACTCGTGCGATGGCAAAACGATGCCACCGAGTACGTGTTCATTGAATGCTAATAGACCCAACGAGCTCAGACCTGGAACATCCAAAGACAAAAGATCACTTTAAATGATCATGGTAGAAATCTGACTCGTCTTCAGCCCATATAGAAGAATTCTGACAACTCTAAAAAGGAAACTCTAAAAGGAATGTTCCTTCGATCTTCCTTGATCTTCAAAGGACCAACACACAATATCGAGTCCCAGTACCCTAATACTCCTAATTCCCGGACCCACAATATCATCCTTCCCAAGGGCTGCACCGTCAATTTACAGAAACACTAAAACCTTCTCGTATCAGATCCTACTTTCCTCTTGATCACACCAGTATCAGACTGAATGTTAGCAAATACCTATCATCGGCGCGTTGAATCTGTGAGCGAAGGCGTAAATGGAGGGCACGAGCAGCATCTCGGCCATCACAACGTCGAACTCCTCGTTGCTGTTCGGCTCGTATAACCTCTTCATGTCTGTATGATTCAGCACCTCGTTCGCCATCAAATCAGAAAAATCAAACAAATAATTTTCCTCGAATGCCAGCCAGTCCAAGCCCTCGAAGCGGAATTTAACGAAATCCATCTGTCTAATAATGCCGTAAGACGTCCCTATGTCGATCTGCCGGAATGTGGTCGCGTTCATGCCCGGGATTGGGTTCGCGGTGACCAGTACGATCTCGTGGCCCCGTTTGTGTAGCTCCAGCCATAACTGACGGTACGGGATCTGATGGCTGTAAGACGGCGTCGGGATGATTGCCAATATCTTAGCAGACTGCAGCTGCTGAACGGCAGCGAAGATGCACAAGACGAGAAACACGACGGACGTGATGGATTTCATGATGGCGGGTTCTTATGGACTGTCGCCGAAGCCAGTTGTTGAGCTACTAGCGCAAGATCGGAATACACCGCGGATTCACGTAAGTTGAGCTTTATGAAGGAGCACTATCAGTAGCATAGCAATCCATAGATATTATTGCTAAGTCACTGTGTAGACTGGACACAAACGCAACTCATCTGCCGTAACAAACTGATTTCAGTCGGTTGCGTGTACCACGTGCCCCCTCCGTTGGTATCTGTCCCCTCTTCCACCGCTGGGTGACGGAACGTTTAATCCTATTGGAATCTTTTCATTCCGAACTTAACCGAACTTCTGGTCTTTTCACTACTACTGGATGTATTATTGTTACCGCGTTCGACAGATACGTGGCGCCGATTAGAAGACCCACGTAGTACCTCACCTAACTATAATTTGAGTTCTTGTTTTGTTTCTGTTATCTGTTTCAAGGAGAATGATTTGCTATTATTGATAGCGTTGATAGCTCTTTTTATTTAGCTGCTTATGCCAACGTTGGCGAAGTGGAAAATACTTCAAGTTGTCTGGATCAATTTTTCGTGAGTATCTTAAATTTTCCAATTACAATCGTTTATTTCGTGTTTATACTGATTCCTTTTTTCGTTTCTTTCATTGAATTCACAGAAACACAATTTATAGGAACCAGTACCGATGAAAAAGGAACTCGATCGCGGACGTCACATTAGCTATTGTTTGGCTGCTTTGACAGCTGTTGGATTTTATTCACCGGTTTTCCCTTTGTATATTCATATTGATGCCGCAGAGACTGGTATTTTCCTCTGACAAGGAAAACGTTCACCTTTTTTACTCACTTCTTTGTCCGGTTTTTTTATACAGACCTACAAAACAAGAATGGTACACTATAGATATCGCTTCCTGGATCCGAGACGTGTGAGGATGTCTGGGAAAGTCTTACTTTTGCACGATTTTATTTTTTTATATACTTATGCTATTATCATTGTCACTTCTGCATGAGTTAACATGAAGATATCAAATGGATGAGTGGATAGACGATGAAATGTAGGATAGCTCACTACAATTAACAGAAAAACCTAAGGCCCGTATTGCATAAACCACACGCAAGAAGTCTGTGACAACCTTATGTTCACAACAGATGCAACGTACTATGTAGAAAGAATGCAGTATTACATAACAAATTGGCGATGATTATAGCATTACGCTGCATCAGGAGTGTTTCATAACTTACACGAGGTAATCATTAAGAATGCACACAATGATTATCGTGCGAGCGCGAGTCGAAAATTGGAACTAGGATTATTTGTTTATTTTGCTCGCGATATCGGTATTTCGGCGGAAGTTAAGAGTCATCTGGTACAATTCTCTTATCTCTGGAATTTGGAAACTGACAACAAGAAATCAAAGGTCGTTAATATAACTGTTCATTCATCTCTTCCACTCATTCGATTCGGACAAAGGTATGCGGAACACTTGACCATCAGGCCACTGTCAATTCAGTGCTGACAACATGACACGGAAATAATTGGACCAATTTGCGCGAATCAACCTTATAGAGCAATCAGTTACGAAGGAACGACTTCCATAAAATGATCTCGATTGCAACACGGGACACGTTGAGTATCTCAAGAATACAAACATAATTTTAGATAAGTGTCTTAAATATACTGGCCTAGATTAACCATTAATACGTAAATACTCTAATTCTAAATTTATCGAAGTTCCTATAGTCAGATGGATACCCGTTGTAGGAAACGTCAATTACTCGAGTATCGGTTCCGAATACCCAGAAGATCAATCAGCAACACAGAAAACGGTGTTCAATAACCATTACTAAATACACGATGTAATATAGATTACAAAGCAGTTATAAATTCTTAAATCAGTAAAGTACATTATCGCTCGTAAGTATTCGGACACCTGGTCTGTATGAGAAGAATGCGATATTTCGTAAAAATTATGTATTTCAAACCAGTTTTATTACTTCCCACTAGCATAAACATTATCCATTAAGCCACTAATCTCCTCTAAACACTATTTACTTCAAACTTTAAGTAACACCTTCCAACATTTTCTGCATATTCGATAAATGCCCTTTAACTTTATTCATTTAAATTCAATAAATTTAATTTTTTTTTTCAAGGATTTTAATTTTCCTAAAATCATCCACGAAGATACGAATTAACTCAAACATCCGTGCTGCGTGCGTCACAGCCAGGATTGATGGATGTACGCGGAACGTTCAACGAATCAAATTTTTTTTTCATCCACGCGCCTACCAGTGGGCTGTACTTTCTTCTCCCATAATTATTCTATATTTTCGTTCATCCCCTTTCCTCTCACTCCGTCATCCGAAGCGTTTAGTTGCTCCACCTACCCCATCCTCCGTAATAAAATTAACCGGATATAACGGCACTCCTCCGAGTGTCCCCTGAATTTACTCAGCTCTCCGAATCGCGGATAGCTAATCCCTCGCATGGGATTCCAAAGCACGGATTTCCGGGGCTCCCAGCATATATTACACATACGTAATATTTACCACGGTGGGAGAAGGAGGAAGGATTCTTGAGGATCTCGAGTCCCCCCTTAGGACCGGCCGAATTTTATCCCGAAGGACCCTCTACGTTCCGACCAATTAGGTCGCTCGTTGCAGATACTCCATGCAAATATAGCATTAAAGATAAGCAAACATTGATTTCTTGGAAGGGATCAAGAGTCTTTGCAAACGTATTAAAAATGGAGCTAAATATACGATATTTATGGTTTCACGTACACATGAATCGAATACTTCATATGAAATGTAATTTTTCTTAAAAAATGCAAAGGGCTTTCACAAGTCATAGTATCACTCCGAACAGTAAGAGTGACGTAACTGCTAACAATAACTAGAAAAACATGTGTCTATTTTTGTTACTACTATAACAAGGGTACGATACATTATCTAGTGTAGAGTGGTTATAAAACATGTACGGATAATATAATATCACATATGTACAATACCTCAACATTTTTGTAACCGTAACCCTTTAGATAACACTGCCTATTACCCATGTGTTCTCAACTCATCCTTTCTCTTGGAAAATTATGTTAAATTTGCATTAGCATTAGGACTCCGAAACGAATTTGAAACTATCTGAATTTTATTAAATATGTGCACCAAATACACTCAATAAAAATCTGAATAAATTACGACGATGAGACCACAGAAGAAAAAGTATCATATAAGATGAAACACCCACTAAAACAAATGCACCGAGACAACACGAGTTGCGCGAGGTCCGTGACCAATGCAGCAGCCCGAGGTAAATTTTAACGTCTTTCGCGGACGTTTTAATCCGTTGGAAACATTGCGAAACCGTTTGTAATTTGCATGGAGCCCGGCGTTTCTCTAGGCTTGCAACGGCCAACGCGCGCTCCAGCCACTGATACAATGATAATGCATCAAACGTATCTTCCCTATAAATCATCGTGTCGTTCGGGAAGAGGCCATCGATCCCAGAGGCGATGCACCGTCACGTGTCTGTATACGATTGTTTCGTACGTTTTCGTACACACGTCCCCCGAAGTCACACGCACAACGCCGCCAGATAATTACGGGAGATTCTGCTTGCCGAAGCCCCCTGATCCATTATTTTCCTTTCTCTCGTTCGTTCCTCTTTCTTTTTTTTTTCTATCTCTCTGTCGTCCTCCACTGTCGGCCCCGGTTACACAGGAAGCTGTACAAACGAGATAGCCACTCGAGCATTTACAACTCGAACCCTAGCCCTTATCTCGAGCCTGTCCTACCTGACGCCTTATCTCACCCACCGCCAATTCGATCTTGCAATACGGATGGGGTTAAAACGGATGAGCGCCCAAAGAATGGACTCTTGTGTGATCCATCGGAAACGTTCGATATTCGAAAAGTAATAAATTTTTGCTTAACTGTGCTGTCCAGAAGGGACATTATTTTCCCACTAATACAACATATTATCATGAATAAAAAAAGCAGCATTACAATATCAGACAAAAGGAAAAAAGTGAAGGACTACCTGGAGGGTGAAATATAAATATTCAATAGTTATTTTTCAAGTTATTCATTAAAATTTATCTATAAATAGGAATGACATAGCAGATCCTGCAAGTTTTTAGTTTCTCCACTTTCAAAGATCATTTATGCGAGTATTTGTAAGGTATTATTTAGATGACTCACATCTAGTCTAATTTCCTATCAGCTATAATCTTTTTCCACCACTTCGCAGACTCCTTCAATATCCTCGGCCTTTTTGGATCGTTGAAATCGACGAATACAATACCGAAACGTTCTCTGCGAATATAAATATTGAAATTTTAACAGTGAAATTAAATATTGAAATTATCAAGGTAAACGATCCAATCGGCAGATAACTTGATCATTATTATAATACAAATTCACGAGAATATATATTAACGGCGTTTGTACTGCATGAATAACCAACCTGTATCCCCTGTCCCATTCGAAATTATCCAAAAGCGACCATACATAATATCCTCGAACATCGACACCATCGACATGCATGGCAAGGAGCATTTGCTTCAAATATTCGCGATGGTATTCGATTCTGTCGGTGTCATTCAATGTTCCCAAATCGGAGTAACCATTCTCAGTGATGTACATGGGTGGATTACCGTACTTCGTTGATAATACACGGAGAACGTCCCGGAAGCCTTCAGGTACAACCTGGAGCACACAATTTTCAGTCAACTCCACATCATCCATAAATTAGCGCTTAAGCAAAAATATTGAATATAAAGAAGAATTTTCATTTCCCAGTTTATCAAAATTATAAATTACATTTTACATCTCTATAACCTCGATGTATCCCCCAAACACCTGTCTATTAAGTAGTATCTACCACTAAAATGTTCATCTTCCTTTCAAAGCTCATTCCTTCGATTTCACAAATTTTTTAAACAACGAGCAAAGGAATGATCGCGATACTTACTTTCAACCAGTCAGAGGCTGACGATTTCCAAGATTTATCCATAGTGACCAACAGGCCTTGATCATTATCAAAGGACGGTATTGGTCCACTCTCTCCCGGCTCGACCAGTTTCGAAGTGTATTGATTCACCGCCAGGAAGTCCGAAGATCCCCTAATATAAACAAAAAGAAACGGCGTTCGACTCGATAAAATTTTGTCCAGTACCAACAAGCTCATATAATTCCACATTTATCCAGATCATACTTTATGTACTGTTTCCATTCAGGCGTGAATTCTGGCAATCGTGATTTCCTGTAGCCCTGCTGCCTGCTCTTTTCAGCCACCACAGTCTTCATAAGTTCCGGATAGTCACCGTGTTCTCCGTAGACTGGATCCATCGTCCATCCAGCGTTAAACACATACGCAGTCTCGGTCGAGACGTTGTCCCCTGGGTTTTTCGGCAGAAATCCGTTCACGTTCACCATGAATCCGACTTGACCGTTTTGGGTGGCTTTGAACTCGTCCACGTAGATTCTGTACGCTCTCGCGTGGGCTTTCAGCACGTTGTGTATGCACAGATACTCGCCGAATCCGGGAAACTTTTTCCCAGGCGCGTGCACGCCGTAGTTATAGCCGTTCATGCACACGGAAATCGGCTCGTTTATCGTTATGAAACGTTTCACCTTCCCGCCGAATTCCCTGAAGACGACCCTCGCGTAATCGCTGAACCAGTCGACTATTTCCGAGTTCGTCCAGCCGCCCGCGTCTTCCATGATCTGCGGGTGATCCCAGTGATAGATCGTCATCAACGGTTCGATATCGTTCGCCAGCAGCTCGTCGATCAGGTCATTGTAGTACCTGACACCGTCACGGCTGACCTTGTTCGGGAAACCGGTCGGCAGTATACGCACCCAAGCTACAGAGAACCGGTACGTCTTGAACTGTCGAGTAGATAGAAAAACAAAAAAAACGTTGTCAGGCGCAATTATGGTTATTACACTGGGAACCGGATCATTGGTTACATTAATGTATAATTTACTATGTTATTAGGTATACCAATACATAACTTACCATATAATTTTGGTAAACTTTGGTAACAGTGTAAATTTCGAACATCTTTTTACCATTTTCTTTTTTTCAAAATGGCGACGAACATCGAAAAACGAGAACAAATATTTTTGAACCGACACACACGGGCTTTTGACTTACTCGTAAATATGTAGTGAATTTGACAAAATATAATGGATTGTTGGTAAACCGAATATTTTAATCCTTTAGGCACTATGCGCCACTGTAGTGGACTTCCTATAATAAGGGAACGACTGTAATTGACTGATTTCGATTTTAACGGGGTTTTGTAAAAAAGTATACAGAATCCTAATGGTACACGTGAAATGTTAGGTGTAGACACTCGATAATTTTAAAGATAGAAATAATTAAAGTTGTGTACCGTTAGGTTGTGACTTATGAATATAAGTCAAACTTATCGAAGTATGTTTGGCTGGTAAATCGAAGGTCCTGGGATCGATTCCCGTTCATTGAAATATTTTTGTTTTACTTTTCCAACGCAACTTCATATTTAGCAAGTTAAAAAGGAAATAAACAACATATGCTTCTTTAAGAATTATCATAGAATATGTATGGACCCGTTGAAAACTGATTACTACAATTAGAACCTGTCGATTCCATGGCTTAAATAAACTGGAGTTACATTTCCGTTAAACCAGATGTATATTGCACGGAATTATGTCAAACACGAGAAGCCGCATAAAGCTAACTTGTGTTGGAAATCGCGTTATTCTGCTCGGGAACTCGTAGGTCGAGATTTTTGAATTGTTTGACTTCTCGTCCAATAGAGTTGAGGAATTTCTGTGATAAAGTCTGAACAACGTTGGTACAATTTCCGAGCAGTATTTGACACAATTCCGTGTATCTTGGATTTCAAAATCGTTTAACGTGAAATGGTGACAGAAGAATGAAGAATGTAAGTTCAAAAGTGTCTTCTTCGAAAAAGGGATGCACAAGCATTCGAATTATTAACATTCCTTTACGCATATTTAAGTGCCGCAATAAGAATCACTTGTCACCGGAACCGTAATAATGTAAAACATATTTACCCCTAAGCTTTTCAACAAAGCCACATCTTCTTTGTACTTGTAGTAAGAGTTCGCAGCGACGTCGCCCGTTTCGTTATTAAAGACGCCTCCTTTGTTATGGCAGAACCGATCCCACGTACTTTCTCCTCGATCTATAGATCCAATTCAGGGGAAGAAACATTAGAAAAGTTTTCGGTCCGGTAGCCACGAAATTTGAATTTGAGGGACCCACCGCTCACGTTCCATGCTCCCTCTATTTGGTATGCGGCCGTCGCGGCTCCCAGGAGAAAGTTCTCCGGGAACCTTAGATATTCCTCATTCTGCGCCACGGATTCGCCATTTGCAGAGCTAGAAAGGACAAGTTTAGGGAAACTTAGGGATTGAGTGAGCAACCGCCCTACCGAAAATCGATATCGTTCAAGAAAGTTCGATGCAACCGAAGAATCCTATATTATTCTTGCCTGGGAGTACGAATTCAATTGTTAGTTTCTTCGAGCTGCCGTATATTTAATTTGGAAACTTTTATCGATGTTACATGAATCGTTTTTTTTTTTATTTCATTATTGATGGATAAATAAAACACTCACATGACGAGGAAGAGAAGTATACTCCAAGTCGACGATGCCGCAAACAACATGTCTGCTTCTTGACTATAACAGAGCAACAATCTACACTTGACATTTATATACGTACGTAACGTCCATATGTTGCCATCATTTTCCACTGTGACCGAAATATCTAATCGTTCATTTACGAGCGCATAGCACATTTTCTTGCGAAATGCAAATAATTTCGTAGTTTGTTATCTATAAAAGTTATTTCCCCAATTCTATTAAATTAAATTACGCCTGAAGTTTAATTCCTTAATTTTTAAAGAAGGTTTCCTTTACCACGATAAAACTTAACGATCGTATATCATTGATTTTTATTTCACTCAACTCTACGAATTTATCATGAAAATTCAATTTCCAAATGAAACTAAATTTTCCATATTTCAATTTTCAGCATTCCAGCAACGCCAACTTTAATACAAAAGACTGATAAACACGACAAAAATATCTTTTAAAAATATTTTAACGTCTCGACCGAATCCCCAAATTTCTCGTCAACGAATTTTTTCTATCGCCACGTCCCCCGATCGTAATAACGAAAGCAAAGGGAGCGGACGCGCGAAGAAATAAGAGGAAGGAACGCGTTTAGGGGGTCGTTCTCGTGCGGCGTCGAGGTGTTTCCCGCCCTTCCGAGCTGCGAGAGGAAATCTCGCCACCGGGAAATACGTATCCTGACAGGTAATCTCCGCGGCACATTCGGTTTCAAGGTTATATAAGCGGGATAGAAAAATACCACGAAGGCACCAAAACTTTGTTGCCGTTAAAAAGAGACAGAGACTATTCCAGCCGCCCTCCATTTTGTTTCTCGATATCCTGATACGAAACACGTTGTATTGTCTTGCCACTGGTATACGCCGGGAGGCGCGAGGTTTTACGACAGTTCCCAAAGAAACTGGATCAGAGGATATCCTCTCCTGATAGATGGGGGAACATTACACGCCGACGCTCGTAACCGCGTGGATCCAGAGGGGAAACATAATTCCGTCATTGCCAGAGAAGACAGTGATTCGAACGCAACGTGCCCCGATGACACGTGATCCGAACGCGTGGTTACTGTTGATCGTGTTTCTGCTTCTTTCGAAATACTTCAGATAAGAGTTCGTTTTACAATCGTATTACTGATTTTATAATGACGCAAATGTCACAACTGTACCATCTAAAAGTTACAAAATTCAATCAAACTGAAAAGTTGCAAACATTTCGGTAGTCTGTAATTTTTGTTTGCAATTGTCTCTAATTATCGGAGAATCCTGTGCACAAGGTCCAGAATTTTTACCTCGACCATAGCGTAACCGGTTCCGTTGTTGCAACGGGTTTCAATTCCCTTACCACCACGGATAGTTCCGGGTCCCATAATTGAAATATGATTAAGAAATGTTGCGCCGGCGACCGAGCATCCCGGTGAGCTCATTGTCAGAGGTAATTCAGCTCTCTTTCTTGGCCAGTAACGAGATAAAAAAACTTTTCTCCTTCTTTACGGTGCGATTCGGGTGAACGGAGAAAGGAAGTTCGGTAAATAGGGTCTCGTTGATTGGGCACTACCAACATGAACTCCGGAACCCGGTCCGAGAGATGCGGACACAGACGACTTCTACGAGTAACCCCGCTATTTACTTCAACCCCACCCGCTCAGAATCTTCTTCGAAAATGGTATCGTAAAGAAAAAACAACAAAAATTGATCATTACAGAACCTTCGTGTTCCTTTTCCTTTATTACTGGCACAAATTTCGTTCCACCCCCTGGTATCACAACATAAAAGAACAATTTCTTTTTATTCGTACAGTTTTTTCTTTTTTAAATATAGATACTTCAAATATGCTAAAAATGTTTATCCTAGGATCCAAAAGAGTGTACAATTATCGGAAGAATAAGGGTTGACGCAGCATTTTTAACGATAATACGTATCGATACAGAGCAGAGTCCATTCGAAAGTTAAAATTATTAAGCGATAGTTCAAACATACTTCTACCAGCTATTATCGCATTGCTTTAAGATAAAACGCTTGCGTGTGTAACTTCATCTTGTTGATATTAATAATTTTATTTTTATTTTATTGTTTTTTTGTTTTAGTCCGGTCCTACTTCGTGGAATTTTTACGTGGAGATATCACGCGTGCCGCGAAACGATAAACGAGGGGGTTGAAGTTACGAGAATCGAACGTATTAACAGGCTACTTGGACAAACGATCGTACTCGAAGATAGCTTTAAGCCCGGCTTTATTTCCCAATTATCGTGCACATGGGCTGCAGTCAAAATTGCCCTTATCGTGGCCCGGCTGCATTCGTATTGTCCCGCTAAATGTATGCAATGTGTCGTCGTGGAATTTACACGGGAAATATGCCAGCCCGGCCGATCTTGTTTAATCGGGGAAGAATTCCATTGAAATGGAATTCGATAAATTTTGTACAATCCAGTTATTAATTTCGACATTGGTTACCTCGGAACAATCGAATCGGGTACAAGAATAAAACGAGAGGATTACAGTTGACTGTATTAAAGTGGACGGAAATAAAATAAAAGAATAATTTCTGGCGGTGTCTTTGTAACGTTAAAACCGAGGCAGAAGTATGTAAATACCGCAAACTTTCGAATATATGAAGCTCCTTAACCGTAGTGGCTTTCGCAGAATTACCGTTTCTCGCGGAATTCGTAAGCCGTAACATTTTCAAGGAAAGAAAATTATTAATGCACTGCTACCTTATCCCGAAGTTGGAAAACCGCAACTTTGCCGGCGCAGCTTGAGGTTTAAAATTCAATTCTCCGTTAAGATACAGTACTGGAAATATTTATTGCATCGCTCTTGTACGTGGCACGTGCAATTTTTATAGCAATACTATTGATAAAATTATTCGTATGTCGAACTTATTTTGGCCATTTGATGTTCCTAGTAGTAATAATAAGAGAAGTATAAGCGACAACGTGTTTAATATTCGAGCATTGTAATAAATTATTTCCAGTACTGTGTATATTTCGGGATTCGTTTCTACGTTTCAACGGAAATGTTCTCACGATCGTGTGGAAATTACTAACGGATTATATTAATAGATGACGGATCGTATGTACAAAGTTTCAACTGTAATTAAACTTATCGGAGATCTTGCTGAACTCATGGCTCGCCGGCTAATCGCGACACTTGGTTCTCTTAGCAGAGACATTCACGATAAAAGCAAATTGATTAGTTCCCTCCACTCTGTCTCATACATTTCATTCCCAGATTTCTGTTCCCTCTACCTTTTTCTTTCATTTTCTGGTCGTAGATTTTTACATTGAATATCTTTGCACTATATTCTCCCCTGTCTCTATCTCTCTCTTCCGTATCCCATTATTCCCACTCTTGTCCGAAATTTATGGCCGGGTACATTAAAGATCTGACGTTAAAGTTGTAATGTTCGTGTGAAGATTTTCAGACAGAAGAATAAAAAAATGATTTATGGGTCTGATAATCTATTTCTATGTGTGCAATGGATTTACATTGCGCGAATTCCGATAACACCAATTGACAGTTTTGAGATTCTTTCAATTAAAATTAAAAGCAAAAGTGAAATCATGTAAAATTTGATTACATTCTCAATGAATGCAAATGCGTTCTAACTAACGTAATCTAGCCTTATGGATTCAATCTTGATCGTTGTCAGAAGTCTAACATACCTATTATTCAATAAGACTGTTTCATTACTAGCTTATTTTCTTTACTATTAAATGTTTAACTGAATTATACAACAATAAGATATACGAAAGATTGCAGCTTTCACTTCGATTACTAAATAATATACATGTTTACCTTTAACTCAAAATACTGAAGAGACACTCGTTAATAAAGTAGAAAGAACGATCACTGAGCCACCGCGAGACAGAAACTGACCTCTCCCACTTGTTCTCCGACTTATATAAGAGTTTTCGCTTAATTAATATTATCATCAAAATTGCGAAAACTCAGTATCTGCAGTCCATAATTCATTATCATTGCATAACCTTGCGGTCTGTTTATTATGAGTATTCTTGTTGACTGAGCCCATTATGTTATGACAGTCAACGTTATATCAAGTATCTGTTAAATGTCCTTATTACGTACATAAATAATTGGCAAACTAACACTTACTCCCGAGTGAGATCACTTGCCTCTGTATATGTATATCTCCTATTCACATTCGAAATACATATGTAATACGTACATACATGCACACATAGATAGCTAATACAATCTTTCATCACATTTCTTTAACCCCTTCGGTACTTAAGCATATATCTGTGTTTAATGGTCCATCTACCTAAAAGGTTAAAGTTACTGTTACAGTTACGCACGTTAACAAACTATCAAGTTCATACTCCATTATATATCAGACAATATCACACGATATTGAATTACCCGAATGTCAAAACAAAATCAGGTCACATAAATACCCTTCATCCCCCAAACAATCCACGTAAACCTCGGGCGAACTTCCACTTCCACGTTCTTCCAAGAAATCCCCCCATTCCCAAAATCCACCATACAAAATCCATACATAAATTCTCTATCTGAAGAATAACGAAGAAGTCACGTCCGCGTCATAAACGTTCTCCCAGCCCATGTTTAATCGTCCCGCGTTTCACGGAAGCTCTTGCCTATTCCTAGCGGAAACCACGACCAAGAAGCAAAGAAGAACGCGGGGGTGCATCGGTGGAAGCGCGTTTCTTCCCCCATCCTCCACCTTTCCGTTCTTTGTCCAAGCATGGCGGGAGGGGGGTGAAGGTGTGAGTCACGGATGTGCGTCGGAGGGTGGACAGCAGCCCCATGTTACGACGAAAGGGCGGAAATGCGGAGGCGGTGGAACGGAGCGAGAATCTGGTAGGACGCGACGATCACCCCCCTTTATCAAAGGCCCTGGCACTTTGCCACGTCGCACCGCATAATGAAGCAGCACGTTGGGCTTCGGTTATAGCGGCGCCGGGGCTTGTGTTTTGCCTTCCGTGGAATGGTTTATTGTGTCGCGAACCCGCCACCACCGCCTCCCATCCTCCGCCACCCTAACCACCCCATATCCGCGAACTCCTCTACGTTCGCGATATTCGCATCGGCATTCGTTGGTTCATGCTCACGAGGCATGCCGAACAAAGGAAGCACGTGTACGCGGTAATAGGTGTTATTACGTAGCCCTGACAACGAGTGCTCGTCGCAACGGTCTGATTGAACCGTATCACGAGAATGTTAATAGGCGTGCGGTAATTCGCGGCGTTGACGCTGGGAGTACGTCTCTGTTGCTTGTATCATCGTAGTTGAGCTTTTGTGGTTCGTGTGACGCGTGATATTGATTTTTTCACGTCAATTCGTTTGTAGACGGTCCAAGGTATAGTGGATGATGAAATTATTCTGAACACTTCGAAGTAATACCACTCATTTGAATTTTGATCAAGAAAGGAATTGGTCTTAGAACTTCTTTCTGACAGATTGACACCAAAGTGTGAACTACAAACATGAATTTCTGCCCTTGTATCAAAGTCTGGTGTCTTTAGGAACGTGACGAAGTAATTAAGCTAGGGATGCACCTACGATGTTTGGCATCTCTAATTACAGAAGGAAGGCCTGTACTCCGTCGGAAATGACAGACGAAGCGGGTGTCTCTTTCAAAGTATCCGAGACTCTGCCGAGTTCGAGTTCTTCTCGCTCGAAGTTTACGGACACCGTAGTGTAGAGTATCATCGAAACAACCGAGGGGTAGAGGCTGGTAGTAAAAAGAGCCAGAACACAACGTCCGGAATCTGAATTAATTCGCCAGGAATGTGCAATTAATTTCGAAATATATAATTAAAATAATTACAGTAACTCTTGCTCGCTTGTGATTCGATGTTATTACGTTTGAAAAGAATTCTTTGTTACACAGTTCTTTAGATCACAAAGCTTACCTGTAGAATGTTGCAGAAAATTCATACTGTCGGACATTCACGTTATTTAATTTTTACTTTCTCTCCAATTGAAGAAGTTTCTATGAAACGAAACAATGATTAACACTTATTTCTAATTATCATTTATTACAGGGAACTAAATTGCAAAAAGCACTACAAATCATTCAGAGCCCTTCTTGTAGATTTTCGTACGGATGAAAGTCACAGAAACCCTTTCTAAAGAATTTGAAACAACTTAAGAATAAAAGGTGATCCACGGTGTAAATTACATCTTCGTGAATCAGCTTCGTTCCTGGGAATCAATTGAGCATCAGTGAAATAATCAATCAATACGTGATCGATTAAAGGCGAGCCTAAGGTTCCCTGAAGCTTCCACGGTTGAAAGGAAAATTCAATCGAACGACGATAAAATTCCTTCGAAGTTCGTGGCCGTCGTTATCGAAAAGGGGGAGGGAAGGGTAGAAGTTTCGAGTCACGAAGTCGCGTTGCTCACCCCATCGCGTCGACTGGAATAATCTTGGATCGCGCGGTTTGCCGTACCCCGTGTACGAACGTCGCAAATAGAGGCATTCGTGCCTGTTCCGGATTACCATTTTCTGAAGCGGTTCCTGAGACGCCCGGAGATGCGGAGCTTACCGCGAAAAGCGAATTGCGTATCGAAGGAATCAGTCGCTGCGCCCGTAGGATCAGTTGACTGTACGTTTGAACGCCACTTTTTTTTCCTGCGAGATTCACTCTTCCCGCAGAGTGTAATCTTTCTATTGAATGAAACGCGACTTATATAGTTTATTTTGTACGATTGAAACGATTTGTAATTTTTATCTTACATGTTTTGGTGTAAATTTTCAATACTTAATTATCTCGAAAACAGAGTTCCATCGGAAAAAATTTTATTTTCATTTTTCAACTTCTTTTTTCTCATAGTAAAAACTGTCTCTGTATATACTGAAACCCTTGTTCGAAAGTACCGCCAAAACCAAAAAAATTCATGCCTTGCTGAAACTCATAAAAAAACACAAGGAATTAACCAGTGAACTAGTATATGTAAATAATCAAATATAATCACAGAGTACATTCTTCAGGCAGTCGTCTAAATAGCCTTCCAGTTAATGCGACATTAATCATCGAATAAAAGAAAAATATCGTTTTGGCAAAAAAGCAGCGTCGTCGTCAGGGTGAAATTTATGACGACGACCTATCCGCCACAGCGCTGTCCTCGGTCGTCGCCCGGAAAAAAACACGTTCGGCCACTTAATATTATTTCTCCTGTCGCGTCGTCTGCTTTTCAGCGCACGTCAAAGAGATCATCGGTGAAAAAATGTTCTCCGTGACCGTTGCTGGAAATGGTGGCCAGTCCTCCGGAAAGCCGGTGATGAAGTAGAAAGCTCCGAGCCGCCCCCACAAAAAAGAAACAGAAAGAAGGGAGAGCGCAGGACATTTTCCACCCTCGACCATCGCCGATTCGCCGATGGCGGTTGTACAAAACCGAGCCGGAAGTCAAGATATCCGGTCACGGAATTACACCACCATCGTGGAATATAGTATCGTTGCGAAGGTGGTGTGCGTTGCAACTGAAAATGTTTCCGACTTCGATGATCGATATATCGAAAATGGATTCGTACGGTCATTTCAAATTCGAACATTTTCATGTTCTTTCATTTGTACTTTTTTTACAAATGCGTGTACATTTAGTACGTACAAAACAGTTTACTCAGTTAGAATGTGTAATCAAATATTTTTATTACTCTTAAAAGAAAATTCAAGAAAGGGTTAAATAGAGAGTTTCCGATAGAGAATCAGAGAGAACGTTCGTGTCTTATATTTGTTGTTCGTTAATGTTGTACAGTTTTGGTAATGAATAGTGTTCTGACAGTATGTATTTCCCACGAAGAAATTCTTGACGCCTCTTGCCCTCCAGTCGATCGTTTCCCGCCTCTGGAATTCCGCGCGCGGTTTTCGCGAAACCGATTGCTCGCGCCGCTCGACGAAAAAGCCCCCGGTTCCCGATGGGAATTTGATTACGACCGATGAATTATTGATGATCGACTGGGCTGCGGGAAATAAGAACGGCGGCTTGTTATTGAATTTCCGGTTTGTTTTGCGGCGCCTCGTCGTCAGGCAACGAAAAACCCCCGTTTTTTCTGCGACTCTTCGATCCGATCGTGGATATTTTTGGGTTTGGTAAAGTTCAATGGTTGTGTTTTTTGTAATCTGTGTTTATTCGTAAACTACTTAACTAAAGCTTCGTGGGCATCCGTACTATTTCCAGAACAATTACGCTTCATCGCGTCGAAATAAAATTACCAATTTCAGTATAAACAACCACAAATATTTCAATAACTGTCGTGACATATTTATACCGCTGAATGCATCACAGCAGCTTCGAAATTATTCGATTTATATTCATGTCGTAACACTAGCGAAATTTCAAATACAATCGGAATATCGAATAACCATTGCTATACGTTGCTTGTTGCTTTGGAAAGAATTTCGACACTGATCCGACCGACTCTAACATATTGATACGCCTGTTATCGCTTCGTAGCGCGGCACTTTTGAAAAAAAAAAAAACAAACGTGAAATCAGGAACGCGCCGTGATCGAATCAGAATGACTTTATCAGTTTCCACGGTACACCAAAGCCGTGGCTAAAGTGACTTCGGGCCGGTGGCTCTTGATACAAGCCCGAAACAGGTGAAATTTAATATTCCCGGTATTCTAGTGTCCCCAGACGATACCAGAGCCGTCTCTAATGTCGGCTATGTCGGTCCCTCTATTGAAATTTCCATCATTACCACGGTATCGCGTACACGAACCACGCGAAATTATTATTATACTAGTTTTATTCGTAATTGCACTGCTCGACATTACTTTGTACTACTCTTGTTACGAAATCCAATAGAACGCATTGCGGTCTTTATTCCCGTGTAAATTGAATTGCGGCGAACGATACTTCGT